AGGAGGGGGGAGGGGCAGAGAACAAGGTTCAGCCGCGCACGGTGGGGTGCAGAATTAACAGGCACCCGGGGAACAATGCAGCCAGGAAGTTTGAAAGAGGGGGGAGGTAGGCAGAAAGAGAAAGGGGAGGTTTGCTAGGAAAGGAGAAAAAATAATGGAGTGGAAAGAGAACAAAATCGAAAATGGGGTGAAATTTCTGTGTCTGTGAACAAGTGGAATAAAGGAGGGCAAACAACTGGGAGATCCGAAGGGATCAACAGGGAAGAAAACACTAGGAAGAGGGGAGGTGCACGAAACCGGGGCGGGAGGCTGAGAAGACTTTGGGAAGCCATGGTAACAAGTGCTGAATAAACTCAAACTATGACTGTTCAATTTATCAGCATCATTATCCGTGGCTGGGAAGCAACTAACCCGGAGTTTCGCGGGCTCGTTTCCTTTGCTTTGGGCCGTTTTTGCGCCCTTGGAGGAGGGGAGTTTGCTCGGGCTCTTCGGCTCTCTAACTGCAGTGAGGCGGGGGGCCTGCCGGCCAGCAGTCCCCCGAGTACCCCAGACCGACAGCGGAGCTGGCTCCACCTTCCCGGGGCTCCGACACCCCTTCCCCGACTCAGTTCCAGAGCAGAAGACTGACCAACTCCGCCAGCTCACTCCGTCCGGTGAACAGACGCCGGGAAGCGGGTCCTGAAGTCCTTCTCCCGTGCAGTCCCGTAAGGACCGAGGGAAAACTTGCTTTCTAAGCCAAGGCCTCTGACCGCGTCCTCTCCCAGCCCCCTAGATGCAGCACGGGTCGCCCCACCGCAGGGCTCCGTGCATGAGGGGGGGACCCGGGCGCCCCGGCCCCTCCAACCCGTGTCTCCGGCGGCACGTGGGTGGTTTCGGGGATCCCCGGCCCGAGGCGTGGGCACAGAGGGGCTCACGTAGCAGTAGGTGAGCGGCCCAGCAGCTCCACGCGCCGCGAGGAGGCGGCGGCGGCGGCGGCGGGACGCTCTCCAAGGGCCAAGGAGATCGACCGGCTCGAGCCCTCACCCGGCTTCCACCTAACACTCCGAGCCCGGCGCCAGCTAGCAGGTCCACCCACCCGGCGCAGCCTCACCTCGCGCGGCCCTTGCTCTTCTCAGCCTCCACAGCTCGGCTCCCACGTCGGGAGACCCGAGCTTAGCCGGCAATCTGCAGCACGGCCCCGGGCTGGCGGCGGGCTGGGCGCCCGAGAAAGCGCGGCGAACACTCCCGGCCCGTGCGCACCCGCCCGTTCTCCGGCCACGCCCCCGGCCCTAGACTGAGCCCTCGGGCCCGCCCCCTCACTTTAGGCCACGCCCCGGCCCAGGTCACAAACGTACCCCGACCTCGGGTCAAGACCAGCTCCCTGGCCAAGCCACCAGTCCCTGGTTCGCCAGGCCACGCCCTTACCTAGGCCACACCCTCGCTCCCTCAGGCCCCCCGCATCCCTACTCACACACCTCACTCTGCCTGTGCCTCCCCCCAGGCCACACTCCTGCCCCTGCTTCTGGCACCTCAGGCCACGCCCTCCGCACGACTCCTCCCCTCGACTCTGTGGCACGCCTCGGGCTCAACTACCCCTCTCCTCCCAAAGCCACAGCCCACGCTCAGCCCACCACCCAAGCTTGCCCCTGCCCTGTCCCGCCCCGGACCCCCCAGTCACAACTCACCAACACCCCAGCCGCTCCTCAACACCTACACTCAGACTGGACCTCCAGCCCCTCCCAGTCCCTCCCAGGCCAGGGTTGGAGGGGGCCATCCTGTCTGCCTGGAGTTCACTTCAGGCGAAGGCTCTGTGGCTGCATTTGCTCTGAAGCAAAGTGCGCAAGGTGGAGGATTCCTCAACCTACCGGTTTCCCCAGGGCCCCCAGGGAACCTTGGCACACTGTTTCAGTGAACTCACTCAAAGAATGATCACCTTCCTTCTTTCGCCAAAAGCCTCATCATTACTGCAAGGGAAAACCGCCAAGGGGAAGCCAACCCTCCTGTGCCAGGCTCTGTGCCCCACTGCTTCCATAATTATCTCCTGTTATACAGCCGATGAAATTCATGAAATAAGTGTGTCCTTTTAAAAAGTGTAGTCTTTTAGGTGATGCCTTTGGCTGGTTATAACGTACCAGCACGATTTTTATAAACATGTATTACTTTTATAGTCAAAGAACAATACCCACTACTTTTAGATGAAAAAATGTGTAAAAGTATATTACCCAGTGAAAAGCCAAAGCTGATTTGATGCATGCTTCTCACCCATTGAGAATGTACTCTGTGTGGTACTACAATGGTGAGGACATGTCATGCATGTACCACAGAGCGAGTGGACTTTAGTTCATGGTAACGTATCAGTACTACCCGTCGGTTGTTAAATGTACCACTCACACACACACACACACACATGAAGCGCCACACTAATGTGTTAGTGTGGAGGAGGGGTCAGAGGGAAGACTGTCAGAACACAGTGCAATTTCCACTCAGTTTTCTGTAAACCTAAAACTGCTCTTAAGAAGTACAATAGTCTGTTAATGAAAACACACACCAAAATATTAAAGGAAGTATCACTGAGTGGTGGGAAATTAGGCAGACTTGGTTTTATTATTTGAATTTTTATTGAGATTCTCTATATTTTTAACAATGAGCAAGTATGTTTAAAATAAAAGAATATTATTATAAACTATGGAAATGTTTAGAGACAGTATGAGAGGCTAATATCTGAAGGTTTCATTTTATTTCTATTTTATATAACCAATGAAATCTGCATGAAGCACCTATAAATGAAGTCTATTTTAGTATTGTTACAAAGACTTGTCAAAGGCTAAGTTGAGTTTATTGTCTCTTTAGCATAAATCTCATAAGTCTGAGGAGCTGAGGAGCAGATTTTTATCTTTCTTTAAAAAGCATCTGTGTTCCAAAAGATCTTTTCTGCTTGCCTGGAAACCACTATTTTTTTTTTTTTTTTTGGTACCAGGGATTGAACTCAGGTCCTTGCGCTTGCGCAACAGGCGGCAAAACCACTGAGCTAAATCCCTGGCCCTGGAAACCACTATTAATATTTACATGCAATGCTTTTTTTGGTGAAGAAAAAACTAGAAACCGAGTCCTTAGGAAACCAAAGCTGGCCTGCAGATACACGGATTTCTGCAGGATCTTCCAGGCTTGACCTAAAGGCCTGGCCTCCCGCCTCCATGATTCCCAGTGTGACTGGGCCTGGCTAAGTTTTCACTGTCTCTTCAATCAAGGGACAGACAGCGGTATCACCCTCTTGGCACTGGGTAGAGAATCAAAACTTGAGCCCATATAAGACTCTTGGTATCATCTTAGCACGTATAGGTGCTTGGTAACTGTTAGTTCCTTTAGAAAAACCAAACATTTTCCTAGGAAGCTCATGAGATAAAACATATTTCTGAGTTGAGGTTTTAATCTTATTAGAAGAAGGAAGGATGGTTCAGGAGAAAAATGATGCAGAGAGGGGCTGGGCTCTAACCCCAGCTCCATCGATAGCCACGTGCACTTCCTGGGCAGATCGCCACACAATCCTCACCTTCTGATGTGTTAAATGAGAGATTGGGACCAGCGGTCTCTAAATTTCCTTTCGTTTCCATCATTCCACAGGGAATCACAATGCATCTAAATTCAAAACCAAACCAAACCAAGTGTTCTACAGAGACCGCTTTCTCTGCCCACATGGCTGGCCATTTCTCAGCCTTGCAAACAGAGCTGACATCTGCATTCTGTTCTTCCTCACAAATGGGAACTTCTCAGAGTCTCTTTGACCTTTTTTACTCTGCTGATCTGCCGATACCCTTCTCTGCCTAGCAACTGAAACTCTAACAGTAGCCAATTCAAAACATCCACCCCAGATTCCTCCTAACAACACTGATGCTTCTATAGGAGAGTGTCCAGGGATAGAAACTTCCAACTTTCATCAAGTCTAAAGTGCCCACCCTCATGGACACTTAATAGCATCTCAGGAGTTAGAATCTTTCTCTTAATATTTACTGAATGTTTAATACACTATGTGCTTTACATTCATTATCTCCTTAAAGCCTGGGAACAATTCTTTGGATACTATTCTCATTCACATTTTGTAGATGAGGAAAACGGAGTTTGGAGAGTTTAAATGAGTTATCTAAGGGTACACAACTAGTCAGCTATGGAGCCAAGATTCAGCCTCTTGCTTCTGCTTTGAAGCACTGAAGAAAGAAGTACTGTGGGTCCCTCCAAAGTTTAGGAGAAGCACAGCTGTACTCAGTCTGCTGAAAGCTTCCATCTGCCTCCATTCAGCAAGGGCTTCTCAGGAGGGACCAGGGAGAAAGGGAAATTCTTTTCTCCACATTTTAGGTTTTTTCCTTTGAGGATCTTTTACACAAAAACAATTCCAGACTCCACCCCAGCCTCTACTGACTGGATGAGAAACCCACTGGTGCATGTGCAATGACCAACCTAATTTACTAACTTATTAACTGCACAGAAGGTTCATGCTCTATTGACCTTTCCACCCACAATGCTGCAGAGAGCAGTCTGGGGTCAACTTTAATGCCACAGACCAGTCTCTCATCTGAAGATAGTAATTTTTTTTTTTTTTTGGTACTGAGGATCGAACTCGGGTCCTTATGCTTGCGCAGCAGGTGGCAAAACCACTGAGCTAAATCCCCAGCCCCTGGAGACAGTAATTGACATTTGGACCTGGCAGAGGGGAAAAGGAAACTCAGAGACTATGACTAAGAATTGTGCTTACATCCTCCAGTTGGTTTTGTCAGTAGTATTGCTGCCATTTTATATTCATCCATTAGTCTCCAGTGTGGAGTTTGATTGTGAAGGTGGGAGGGGAAGGAAGGGAGGTTAGTTGGCCCGCAACTGTCCCTGCGTTAGAAGACCCAAGATCATGAGCCTCTTCCTCTTGTTAGCTCTGTGGGAGAGAACATTCCTTGTGTGGTATCAGGAACATTCCTTAGCCTCGCTGTGATCAGTTCCTCACCTGAGATGAGCAATGCACTATGGGGAAGATGGAGTATGACAATGTATGTAAAATCCTATCTCGGTGCCTGGCTCATGGTCACATACTCAATAAATAGTGGCTGTCTTTAGTGATTAGAATGGAGAAGTTGAGTTGGCCATCTTTTATCCCATAGTTTCTTAGAGCAGATATCCCCTAACTTGAAGCTTCCTGGAATGACAGAATAACGTTTGGAATGTATCAAATTATCCTAATACAGAAGAATCTATCTGGGGAGAGTAAGAAGAGTCCATATGATTTGGGCAGGGAGAGGAAAGCATTGTCCTTGCCTTTTGTCCTGAAAGGGCACCAAGGCCACTGGGTCTAGAAAGCACAGAAGTTGGGCACGATGGTGCATGCCTCTGATCCCAGCGCCCTGGGAGACTAGGAGGATTACAAGTTCCAGTTCCACTTAGGCAACTTAGTGAGACCCTGTCTTAAAAGTTAAAAAATAAATTTGGAAAAGGCACTGGAGATTTAGCTCATTCACCAGTAGAGTACCCCTGTGTTCTATCCCCAGAACCACGAAAGAGCATTGGTAGTGGGGGATTCTGAGAGCCAGCTCTGGGTTGCAATGTGCAGGGTTAGCCCCTCTGCCCAGAGAAAGGGATGCTTTCATCCTGGGGCTTGGAGGGACACAGGTGGGCAGAGCAGCCTTGGAAAAGAGACAATAAGCA